TTTTCTAAAATTAACTCACAAATTATATCTACAATAATAACGAAATATCATTTTTACGAACACAATCAATTTTATGGGGAAAACAACTTGCCTGAAATGACAGATATCTTATTGGATCCATGTTCTTCCTTGGCAATTCTCTCCGCTTCTTCCATTAGCAACATTCCGAACCCTTGGTGCTGGAATTTCGTTGGGTCTCTTGCACTCACAGGCACCACCGAGCCATATACATGCAACTCGCGGACAATAGACACTCCTCCTACCAACTCAGGACTGTGGAGTGATGATACGTTATTTATGTTATATGCATAATGAAAACAATTTTACACTTCACAACTTAGTAAAATAAAACTACAAATGTCATAATGTAAGTCATAATCAACACGTACTAAAAAAACATCTTGCAAATCCATTAACTTGGTAGAAACACTTTCTACATTTTATGGTTTCTACAAGAAATATGTCAACTCAATAAAGGTACTCACCGGAAGGTCTGGTCTGAACACTTTCTGAGACGAAGAAGACCAACTAAAATATCCTGATCTGGGTCTTCATATGAAAGGAATGTTTCCCACCCACCGTTAGCAGTGTAGTCACGACGAATGAACTCAACCTGTTATGTTAATGAAAAAAAATAATAAAAATAAATAAATAAATAAATAAATACATAAATAAAACTTAGTAATGAAGAACAAACTAAATTATAATGATTTAGATATTCAATGAAAAAAATACAATAAAAGTATCCCAAAGAAGTCTACAATAAATGAATGAAATTACAAAACAGGATTTTAGCTGTACATACCTCATATGGCCTAACTTTATGATGAATTTCTTGAATGCCGACTTCACGTGTTCGAACATCCCTACACTGCGTACCAAGATCCTTCATTCTGGCTAATGCCAACTCACGGAGATTTCCATGTTCCACTCCAGAACTATTTAAGTGAATGAAAAGAAAAATAATGAGCAATAGGTACTTGTGTGCCCTAAAATAATCAAAGGGTCTTGTTTACTATTAATATTAAATGGATGACAATTAATTTTCTATTATAAGTCCCGCACTTTTGGATGTTTAAGTAATCAGACTATTCTGTTGAAAGAACTGAAGTCCAGTATTCTAAACAATTTCTACACTAAATTGCCTAACTGCAATGATTGTTCTAGGTGTGCACACCCTCTATCAAATTGCAATAAATTAGATATAAGAATACTCAGTAAGGCTAGTTTTTGGCAGTTCATAATGGCAAAAGGTCAACATTTTGTCTCGAAAGACTATGAGGAAGTTTGCAATAATAAAGTCAAGTCTTGAGCCTCCATCAATAGCATCATATGTTTGTTTGTTATTATGACACAGCCATCGCACAGGTTGTCTGAGTACCATCAGAGAGAAAGAGTAAATCTTTTTTTCCCTTGCAATGGCTGAGGTACCCATCCAAATATACTGACAAGTTCCTATTATCAAATATTTTCACAAATATTTGGATATGGCTATAAAATATATACAGTATCTGTAATACCAATGGCATATCTGCATCACCAGTGCAACACCCTTGGCATGAAACTACACGCATGCCAGCCAAAGGCAATGACTTAAGAAAACCAATAGTGAGGAGGGGTCCAAGAGATAATTCCGTCATTCAATTGATCTTTCTATACACCAACCTGACAAGAGGCATGGGGATATCTCGCTGAACTCGGTAAATTCTGACCCATGGAGGAACCAGAGAGAGGATTGTGGCAACCAGATCCACAAGGGTGTTCGGGGGGTAGCTCTTGTATCTTCCCGTCTTCCATAATTCGTACAAGCCTGTTCCTCGGATTACCAGTGTTGGATAGATCTTCAGACCGTCTGCGCGGAAAGCTGGGTTCTCAAAGAATTCCTGAAAGTGAGATGTTGATATTAGTATACATGCAGGTACTTGAGTTTGCCTGTTCCACTTTGTGTCCATACTTCTAGGATTATAAAATATGATATTTTCTGAAGGAAACTTAAATGCATGATAGCATTTTAGTCAGATAGATAAAGATATAGCTATAAATATTATATACAAGTATAAAAAGGTGTGTATATATATAGGTATTTAGAAGTAAATGCAATTAAGCTATATCACGAAAATTATGTTAAAGAATTAGCTTTAGATACTCACAATAAATTGTTCTACATCTCTCTCATAGTCCACATTGGGCAAGTCTGGCATCATATGTGACACAACCTTAAATCCAGCATCCTTCGAGTATTGGAAACTCTCACTAACAGCTCTCACTGTATGACCCCTGGAAGAAAAAAATGCATTAGAGTGGACTCTCTCTGCCTAACCATTATCCACTTATAAGACAGAGAAATTCTGCAAGAGCAGAATAAAGTGGCCGTTTGTTTGAAAAGAAGGGACGGAATCTCCTTTGGAAGACATTTATCAGATGTATATAAAAATTGTGAATCATCAAACTAAAATAATTGAATATGGAGATTGCTTTTTAATATATCTATAGAATATATCCATAAACAACTTCCCAACATATAAAAGCAAAAAAAAAAAAAAAAAAAAAAAAAAACAGCAGTTTTAATAAATGTAGACTATATCTGAATATAAATATAGACTATTTTCTACCAGTCATACCATTAAGTGCACAAGAAAATAACTACACAAAACTCCCCTACAATATGAGATTTATACCTGTTTGTATCCCTTGCTACATCTTCATAGACCGACTGGACTCCTATTTCCAATCTCGTGCAGCCATACTTGAGCATGTCTGAGAGATGTCGCTTCAGGCAGTAGTCAGGACGAGTCTCAATGGTAATGCCTGGAAAGGGAGGATTGAAGTCCATGAAAATATCATAAAATTTTGGCAAG